ATAGGCTTATGCCAGCGTGCTCAGCTAGAGTTTTGCTTTTTTTTTTTTTAATCAAAATCCTTTGCATTTTCATATGAGTTTTAGGATCTATTTGTTAGCTTCTATAAGAGTCAGCTGAAATTTTGACAGAAACTGTGTTACAACTATAGACTAATTTGAACAGAAATGATAACTTCATTTAGAGTCTTCCAATCCATGAACAAAGTATACCTCCATTTATTTACATCTTCTTTAAGTTCTCTTAGCAGCATTTTTAAATTTCAAGCATACATGTGTTGTATCTTTTTGTCAGATTTATTTCAATGCATATGATCTTTTTGATGCTAATGTAAATGGCACACTTATTTTTATTTCAATTTGATTGTTCATTTAGTATAAGAAATACCAATAATTTCTGTGTAATGATCTATATCCCAAACATTATAAATAAGTCACTTAGTTTCAGTAACCCTTTCATAGACTTCACCAGATATTCTATACAAGTGACCTTGTTGTCTACAAAATAAATATAGTTTAGTTTTTTCCTTTCCAATCTGAACACTTTTTATTTCTTACCTTATAATATTGGCTAGAACCTCCAGTACAATGTTGAATAGAAATATAAATATCCTCATCTTGTTTCTGTCTTGGGGTAAAGGCTTTCATTAATAATGATGATGCTAAGTGTAGGGGTTTTTTGTAGATGCCCCTTACCAAGGAGTAGCAGTTATTTTATATTCCTAGATGTCTAACTGAGAGACATCTTTTTTGGTTTTCTTTCCTTTTGTGGTTCTGGGAATGAAACCCATGCCTTTGTACATGCCAGTTAAGAACTCTATCACCTAGCTACACTTTAAGCCACTATTGAGAGCATTTAATTAGAATTGAACACTATATTTTTAATTTTTAATCCTTTAATCCTCTTTTCTATCTAGTGACATGACCATATAGCATTTAAATCAACTCAGTGAATGACAAAAATTGGTTTTCTAATGTTAAGTCAGTTTTGCATGCGTGACATCATGTATCATCCCATTTATTCTTTTATTTTTAGGTACTATTGGGTTTCATTTGTTGACATTTTGTTCTGAATTTCTGCAACTATGTGTATTATGAGGGATACTTGGTCTGTAATTTCCTTGTTGTTGTTTGATCTAGTTTTGCTATCAAGCTAATGCATAGAACATACTAAAAGTTTTTTCTACACTTAATTCTCTGGAAGAGCTTGTGTAGAATTTATTTTGTGTCTTCCATAAATACATGGCAGAATTACCCAGTAAAATCATGTGGGTCTGAACTTTTAAGAGACATAAAGCTATTCAGGTTATCTCTTTCTTCCTAAGGGAGCTTGGTAGCTTGTATCCCTGTTGCCAAATATACTGTCATGAAATAATTTATAATATTTCAATTCTACTTTTGGCATATCTGTAGAATTTTCAGAAATATCACCTCCACCATTCCAGATATTGTACCTTTTCTTTTTCTCTTGATTGGACAGAAGTTTAACAATTGCATTGATTTTCTCTACCAATCAGTTTTTGCCTTTATTGGCTTTTTACTATTTTTTTTTCTAGTTCATTCACCTAATGCCAAACTTTATTATTTCCTCTCCTCAGCTTACTTTGATTATAATTTCTTCTTGTTTTTTTAGTTTTATACGGTGGAATCTGCCGTAACTGATTTTTAGAGCTTTCTCTTTATAGTAGTTGTTCAGGGCTATATATTTCCCCCTAAATACTGGCATCCCATGATTTTGAAATCCTGGGTTGTCATTTCATTTTAATTCAATTAAGGATATTTTCTTATTTTCCCTCTAAGTATTTTCTTTGGCTCACAGGCTATTTAGAAGGATATCACTTAATTTCTATGTACTTGGGATTTTTCAGAAAAAAATATTTTTTAAATATCTTTTTTAGTTGTAGATGGACACAATATCTTTATTTATTTATTTTTATGTAGTGCTGAGGATCAAACCCACTGCGTCACATGTGTGAGGCTGGTGCTCTACCATTGAGAGACAGTCCCAAACCCAGAAATTTTTGTTATTCATTTCTAATTTAATAACCATTTTGGTGTGTTTTATAGTCCCAATTTTGGTCAGTCTTAAACAATGTTCTGTGTGCACTTAAAAAATGTGCTTCTATTGTTGTTGAATGAAAAGATCTATCAATTGGGCTAGATTGGGAAAGTGTTATTCAGGTATTCTGTATAGTATTATTTTGCTATTGATTGCTTTTATTATAGAGAGAGGAGTATTAAATTTCTGACAATAATTGTGGATTTATATATTTCTCCTTACAGGTCTACCAGCTTTTACTTTGTGTATTTTGAAATTGTTATTGGGTATATAAGTACTTAGAATTATGTTCTCTTAATTAATTGAAATTTTATCATGAAATGACCTATTTTCTGGCTTTTGCTCTGATATCTACTGGGTCTACTATTAAAAGATTAGCCTAATTTTTCTCTTGATTAGTGTCATCACAGTACATTTCTTGTCCTTTTTTTTTAATGCCTTTGTGTTTCTCTTGCAAGCAGCATATTATTGGGTCTGCTTTTGTTTATCCAATGTATCAATCTCTGCCTTTTGATTGGGTGGCTAGACCATTTATACTTAATGTGATAAACTGATTCAAGTTCATGATGTTATGTTTTATCCTCTTTATCCCATCTATTCTTTGTCTCTTTTTCCTGTTTTTCTATCTTTTTAAAAAATATCTTTAGATCACGCCCCGGACCTCTCCCGACCTGAGGTATGTTTTATAGGCAGAAGCAATGTTGGAAAATCGTCCCTAATAAAGGCTTTATTTTCATTGGCCCGGGAGGTTGAAGTTAGAGTCTCCAAAAAACCGTTTGAAGTTTTTTTTATTAGTGGATAGTGTTGTTGGAATTACAAAAACAGACAATATTGCCATAGAAATGTGTGAAGAATTTGCATTACCTTATGTGATGGTATTAACAAAAATTGACAAATCTTCCAAAGGACATCTTTTAAAACAAGTACTTCAGATCCAGAAATTTGTCAACACTCAAACACAAGGATGTTTTCCTCAACTGTTTCCTGTAAGTGCTGTGACCTATTCTGGAATCCATCTGCTGAAATGTTTTATAGCTAATATAACAGGAAATCTTAACTAATGGTATCCATTAGTTTCAAAGATGAAGTTTCAAAATTCTGTGTGCCACTAGAGTTCAACATCTAGAAAAATTTCAATATTGTTTTAAATGTTGTATATCTGTAACTTGCAGGAGGATCACTTCAGGAGATG